ATCTATGCATATCAAATTTCAAAATTTAAGTACAAAAATAATTCTAACTTTATCTCAACCAAATTTTACTCGTAGATGTCTCAGAATCGATATTTTGTCATTTTGTAACATTTATTGTAATTTGTAATGAAAAATGAAGAGTTCAACCTTATATTTTTGTGCAGAATCAAGGAGTTTCGCCTATAAACAACACACCTGCTGATAGTATTTTTTAAAATAATTTTTCTGTCCATCCCTTCTATTTATCTGAATTTTAGTAGTACAGCCTCTGTGTACCACCTTTTTACTTGACCTTACAACAGGTGATTTAACGACTAGTAATGAAATAACATAGTAGTTTGTGTAGCAGTTAATGGAAAAAAAAAAGTAAATGGAACAAACCTTTAATAGTCTTGGTATTAAGGAGACTATAGTTTCTACACATTCATTTGGCCTCTTCAGTCTAATATTGTCTTCTGGCAGCAAAACTGCTTAATCAAAAGCTTGCCTAATTTCAACACCTCCCAAGGTCACAACTTACTGACCTCCTGTGTCGTTAATGAAATATGAAGCTCAGGCGTTGTTGACCAGTTTTACAGCCAGAAGACAATGAGTTAATGAAGAGGAAACATGCGTGTTGAAACTAGTTTCCCCAATATCACGACTTCTGACAGTTTGTTTCATTTACTGTAGTTTTTCTGAAACTACTAACGAAACTAAGCTTTAAAAATAGCTACATCCAAATTTTAAATATCACTGGATATAGCAGGTTATAAACTATTTACGTCAATGTGGAGTGAATAAAATGGTGTGTGTGTGTGAGAAGTAATTTATGGTTTTGTGGGAAAGTGACAAGACGTAGCTCGTATAGAGAACAAAAAAGAAATGTGTTGGGGAATTTTAAAACTTATCAACAAATAGATGTAGAAATTTTTATTTTCTTAAGGTTCTTTTTTTTCATTCTTGGAAATGTTTTTATGTTAAATTACATGTGTTGAAAGCTACTGAATTTTTCTTCTGTGGCATGATATCGCTAAGCCCAGTTTGGTTTATAGACTGCGGTAGGCAACACTCTGGTGACTCGTATCCATATTTATCAAATATTATTGTTAAGTTTATTGTATTCAAACAACATAAATGCGTAAAGCACTTATTACTTTTCGAAAATAAACTATATTTATTATAATTAAGTTGACTTTGACCTAGAATATTCATAGCAAAAAATATTGTTGTCTAGCCTGACCTGATGCCATCGTGACAGGGCAAGTTGTAAGTCACCAATAAATCTTTGTCAGTTTCTACATTGTTTTATGACTTGTAGTCAGTAAAATAAAGGGCAAAACACGTTGAAGTTGACTGTATATATAAAATAGAGCTAACTGCCGACAAATATTAAAATGAAAGGAAATATTTATAAAGGTTTTTTTTTTCTTTCAAAACTGTCTTAAGAAAATTTCGGAAATTTTGCAAGTAAAGATGATAGAAGTAACTCAGATTATTTGCAATCCGAAATTAGATCATACTTACAAAGTTTTGAATAAGCTTTATGCTGATTGGTTAAATATTTCCATTGTGAGAAGCGAAAAAAATCAAGGGATGTTAGTGATACCAACCCACCCTTGTCCGGCAATGGTAAATGTGCTACTTACTACATGGTATAGAATTCCTTTCGGTTATCAAGTTTATTTAGCATTATGCGTATTTCAATATTGATGTTCTGTTAAACATAGGTTTAACTCAAAATTATTTATTTATTTGTTAAAACTCCTCTCATATCTACGGCACAAACTCAAAAAATGTACAACACTGAACTGACTTACTAACTAACTCATTGATTAACTAGCAGCTCACTTAATCACTGACTAACTCGCAGATTAACAAATAGCAACCCTTTGGTGATTTTATGAAATATTCATTTTTACTCAAGTCTTGGAAAAATTCAAGACGTCATGTCAAACTTAGACACTCAGGAATTTTTTAAGTGTTACACCCCATCATCAAGTCCTGCCAAAATTCCCTGTACCAAACAATACAAAACGTCTAACTTGTAACATTGAGAATATCTATCTATCTATATACTACTAAAACTATGAGATTGTTTGTTTATTTGCTTGTCTGTAATTAAATACAACAAAAACGGCGCACAATAGCGCCATATTTGTAATGAAATGAGAATAGAAACAGAATAAAACAAGTTTCGTTAATATCGGGTTACCGAGTTAGCGCCGTTTTTCGGGTCACTTTTATGAAAATTTCTAGCATCACACTACCGTTTGTGCTCTTTACGAAACTTCTTCGTTCAAATCTATTTCCCTGTCAATGTTCTCATCATCATTAAAAGGCGTAAGATGACAAAAACAAGATCTTGAAGAATTTCTCAATAATGTGCCTTGGTTATAGTAGGTAATTCGAAGAAAAAATAAAGTGTTACTGTTTCTTATTTGTAGAAGGTTTAAGAGGAAAGACCACAACATAATTAACTAATTTTGAAAAATGAAATTGTCTTTCCTTTTACCCCCGATCAACAATCAAATATCTTTTCTTGAATTATGAATAACACGAATGGATTGAAATATTTAATTAAATCATTTAAAAATAAACCTTCATTTCCGTGCAATATTGAAATTAGCTTAAATTCTTCATAACCTCTGAATAGTGGGTAACCCAACGGGTCACGGGTGGTCTACTAATCTACAAAACAGTTTATAATGACGTTTTTTTTTGAATATATCAATTAAACATCAATTATGATTGGTTATTAATAAAGTTGTTAAGCCAACAAATAATCCATACTTTTGAAATTATCTTAGTTTGATTAAAATATATACTGCACAAAACGATTAAAGTACAGTTGAAAGTTATATTTTTGCTTTGACGAAGCAAATCTACTATTACTAACGTTTGATGTTGAAAACTTAAAATCGCATTGTTGATAAAGTCCTGCAGTATCAACACACTAAACGAGCTGTTTCCAGAGTATCTTTTGTGTCAGAATCATTTGAAAGGATGCGCCGCGTCTCCCATGAACATAGTCGATGGAATTGTAGCTCACTGAGTGTGCAGGCGGCTTCAGTCGGTCAATCTTTTCTTTTTCAAGAAATGGTTGTACTCAGCTTAGTACAATGGGAGCGGGAGTTATCATCCATTAGGATGGTGTGAGGCATGTGTGTTCGCAGGATGGGGCAAGGGGGTAATTGTCCCCCTTGGAATTTCAGAATAAAATTTATTTGACTAATTTCTTTAAAAACCATTACAAAATAATACAATTTAAATATAAGTGACGAAATTAATTTAACATGAATATGTAATAAACAGCTAGACTAATAGAGTATCACATTAAAACTTCAAGGCAATGGTCTGCGATAGTTACCGTATTCGCAGTTTGTGGGTTTGCCCCCACTTGTAATAGATTCTGCGGACGCCCATGGTGTCGGGGCCAATTACATCTGTATGTAAAACCGTAAGATGTAGACCCTTGTGTCATAATTTACGACGTACATTTTGGTACATCCAATAATAGTTATTCTCGTCAAAACCATACTTCCATCACGGCAATGTGCATCACATTTCTGTATGAGAATGGAGTATTTCTGGTTCCGGATTCTTTACGGAAACCTTTTGTGTGTGTATATATATATATATATGTTACTGGTTCTTGACACAAGTAGAGCACGTTAGGCTCTATGACAATGAGAAAAAAAAAATCAATGAGGCCAGTGGCATAACAATAAACTGGATAACCAATCATTTGCATTTAGATAATACAGACTTTATCAAAACGTATGACTTGCGTAACAATTAACAGAGGGGTGGAGGAATTGTGATTGATATTATTCTGTAACAGTGGTTTTTGCTTGTCATTGGTATAATTATTTCTTATTGTTTTCTACAATTTATTATATGACTTATCGGTTGATTATTCTCTTTTAGGGGTACGCCACATTACTTTTTATTATGCAGTTAATACAGTTTTAAAGATATTGTATCCATACGTAATTAGACCTCTTGTACAAGTGGATATATGTTTTGCTGCTTTGGTTAGGCAAACAAAAAGTTTGTTAGCTACAAACTGAATCAACGTTGTAATATGTTACGAATATTCAGAATGCAACTCATTATTGTGTTGCATGAATAATATATTATAAATAATATATTACAATTAACAGATCGGTAGGTGAACGGTACGTCTGAGAGCTTAGAACGCTCAGAAATCGGGGCTCGATACCCCCTATAGCAGAGCGAAGATAGCCCATTTCGCTTGACAAAAAACAACAACAAAAAAACAAGTGATATATAGTATTTTTCCTGTCTTACGTTCTTTGTTCTTAATTTAGTAGGCCCAGCATGGCCTGGTGATTGTTTGTTTTTTAATTTCGCGCAAAGCTACACTAGGGCTATCTGCGCTAGCCGTCCCTAATTTAGCAGTTTAAGACTAGAGGAAAGGCAGCTAGTCATCACCACCCACCACCAACTCTTGGGCTACTCTTTTACCAACGAATAGTGGGATTGACGTCACATTATAACGCCCCCCACGGCTGAAAGGGCGAGAATGTTTGGTGTGACAGGGATTCGAACCCGCGACCCTCAGATTGCGAGTCGAGTGCCTTAACCACCTGGCCAAGGCCTGGTGATTAAGGCGCTCAACTTTCAATCTGAGGGTTGCGGGTTCGGATCCGTATAAGCGAACATGCTCGCCCTTTCACCCGTGGGAGCGTTATAATTTGACGATCAATCCCACTGTTCGTTGATAAAAGAGTCGCCCAAGAGTTGGCGGTGGGTGGTGTTTACCAGTTGCCTTCCCTCTAGTTTATCACTGCTAAATTAGGGACGGCTAGCGCTGATAACCATCGTGAAGCTTTGCGCGAAATTTAAAACAAACAAACCATAATTTAGTAACAATGACAGCTCTCAATCTTATTTCTCATAACAATGGTAGATATTATGTTGAATATAATTAATGCATTTCGCATTTTTAAGTAATTGTCTTTATATAGTTTTGAAATATTTTTTTAATTTTCCAGGGCCCTGCTCCACAGCCAGGACAACCATTTAAATTTACAGTTGGTGATACTTGTGATAGAATCAAAGAAGAATTTAATTTTCTTCAAGCCCAGTATCACAGGTAAGCTTATTGAGCAATTACAAGAGCTTCTAATCTCAATATTTAACTAATTAAATTAAATACTGTATAATAGGTTTAGTAATTGAATGAAGTAATATGTTGATAATTTCTATAAACGTGTATAACATTATTTTTCATACGTAGATCTATTAAAATCCACGTTGTTTAATATTTTGTTGAGACAAACATTCGCAGTATATGAAAAGAGAGCTTACTTTAATGATTTTTTTATATGCAGTTTTCGATATATTTGTGTGAACTTTAAACAGCAAGCACTCTTAAAAAGGACTGTTGGCAATTAGGCTTAATGTTTCCTATCCAATTGAATTAACTAAGTCTTATATGCGAACTACAAATCAAATCTTTTTATTGTTTGTATTAGATGAAATTTTCCGCTTTCATTGTACAGCGGTGTATTTGAGAACAACAATTTAACAAGTAGTGTTCAAAATATGTATTACAAGATAACATTCATTGAAAATTTGTCAGTATTTTTGTTCCTTGGATATTTTTTGTATCTTTTCTCTCTCATCTTATTGTACGTGGTATCTTGGAAATTACAAAATATTCATATAAAATTCTTAGCAGCACGTCGAGTAGTGGTTAGCGTGCTGGACTGTGAATCAGACGGTTCATGGTTTGTGTCCCGTTGCTCCGCACTTTGTGGCCATAGATGCATTAAAAGGGTGACGGTCAAATTCACCTATTCGATTATAGTTGTTCAAGAGTTGGCAGTGGGTGCTCTTAATTGTTTATGTGTTCCTTTCAGTTTAATATTTACTTCCGTTAACTAAATAATGTAACACCATTGCAATTTGGCCTACATATGTGAAAAATAATTTATTCGTAAGCATTGTTAACCAACAACTTTGGCCATTAGAAAATTCGTAGTTTGACTCGTGCTGCATGCAACTTGGTGAATTTACGCACATTCAAGGTTGGTTGTGATTGAAATGCGTTTTAATTCGTAAAATTAATAGTTAGCAGTCGTAATAGACGTATTGTTAATTGAAAGTAAGCGTTTTAACACCACAGTAGATTAAACTTTGCTTCTTGATAAAAAATAACCTTATCAGTAGGAAGAAAGATTTTTATCCTCAAGTACATTTACAGATATTTATTAAAACTGGTTTGAATAAGATTATTCTTAATGATATGCCTCAAAATGTTGAAACTCTTGAAATTTCATTTATTATTTTATATTCTGTCTACCTATATTCGAGAACATGTGAACAATCACTTTACACAATATCATTGGGTTTAGACGAATCGGGTATTAGATATCATACATGTTACATCTTTACCGCTCTCTAGTGGCAATATTCTTATTAAGTAGCAGAATTGTATAAGAAGGCTTGAGTACAAAATCCCAGAGAATATAATTAAACTAATAAGCCATATAAAGATGACTCACTAGTTTATTCGTGTTATTGATATTACGTTATATCAAATTGCTGACGGTAATTTTTATCAAAAGTAGAAGATCGATTCATTTAAGTTTAAGAGATAGTACATTAACTGTGTAAACAGCTACTCACAACATATATAAATGCGCATGTAAGCGAGGAGGCTTCTTAATTCATAAACCCTGGGCAGAATTTCAAACTTGTACTACATGAGCTAGGTCTGGTAAGAGCTCGTTTAAGTGCGAAGCTGTGGTAGTGCCTTTTGGTAGCAATTTAATTAATTTTTAACGTTGGAGTATAGACAGAAAATATTGATTCGAAGTGTGAGTGTTTAGTATTTGGTGAAGACGCGTGAGATCCTGATATGGATTTTTTGCTGCTGGATTCCCTGGTGAATAATTAATCAAAGTATGCTAAAAATTGATTCGTTTCTTGTTATATTTGTTCTGTAGTTAAGCGTGTTATCAGTAATTACACAAGACGGTATATAGTCCTTATAATAAAGCAAGAAGACGGTTTTCATTCTAGTAATCTTAAAGTTGACTGTTGTTACAAAATGACATTATACTAGCTATGTAGAACATCACACTATTGTAGTTAGGACGAGACAAACTACTGTTTTACTGTAATAAGATATTTACTGTCAGCTCATCTAATTAATGAGAACAACTAGATTTATTTTAGTTTTTATTGCTACTTTGTATGCTCATTTTCTCGACACTCGCTAATACATATTTACTTGCGTTTGATGCATTTAATAACTTCCTTCTGATAATCTGAATTTCATGTTTATATTAATTTGAAGGAGAAAATATGTATAGTTTTGTGAACTGAACATCGTAGGAATTTGAACGTCTTATAATAACTGTAAACAAGTAGTTAAACCGGAAGAAATTGTTTAATTTGATAAAAATATAATAATTCAGTAATATTTTATATCTAGATATGTTTCTGTTTGTCTTTTAAACTTATAGCCTTTTCATTTAGCATCTTTAACAATTCTTACATTTCTCTCTTATTGGTGTTACTGAACCGACCACAGTACGTTCAAACTAGGCATATCACGTTCTCCTAGAAACCGGGTTTAGATACCCGTGGTGGGCAGTGCACAGATAGCCCATTGTGTTGCTTTGTGCATAATAACAAACAAACAAACAATCACGTTCTCCGGTGTGTCGGCAGTACGTTTACAGACTTACAATGCTAAAATCCGGGGTTCGATTTCTTACGGTGGACTGAGCATAGATAGTCCATTGTGTAGTTTTATGGTAGGACAAAAAGAAGACACAGTACATATCAATAGGACAAAATTTGTTAGAATTTTGTTTTGTCTTGAAATTTACCCTATTTACTTTCATGGTCATTCATAATAACGTGTAACATTTTGAACCAGAAAGACTTATTGTGGCCGAAGATTGATAAAACTTTATATCAAATGGATATTAAATACTATTTCGGCAAGTTTTCTGGAAACAATATGCATTTGTTATTTATTTTTATAGATAGAGCTCAGTAATTATAACCGGAGATACGGTTTTCTAGTTTCATCAGAAAATACTATATGTTTCCAGGACACATGCAATAAAGTGATTAAGTTATGGTAGTGCAGCTGTGTTTTGATTCTTATCAAGGAAAACAACTATACCGTGAGCAGAATATTTTTTTTCAACGGTCTCATAAAAAAAGCACCTAGTGTTAACGAACAACATATATTCTACAAAATAAAAAAAACGATGTTAAAACCATTAAAAAGTAGGTAGTGTGTTTTTAACTATAAGGATTTGATGATTAATTATCAGTATTAAAATGTATCCCCGAGTAAAAGGTTTAGAAAAGACATCGGAGCTGTGCCAAATCAGGCCTAGTTGACAGAACTGTATTTTAAATGTAATCATTCTAGTGCAAAATGGGAGATCATATGAATACCATTTAAAATTCTCTTAATGCGAGTATAAGTTAGCTATAATGTACAAGAAGTGAAGACCGTACTGGTTCTCTAGAGCTTTCTAGGACGTGTATATAGGTTTCGACAGAATCGAATATTCATATTAAGAATATGATTTATTGTTTCAAGATCTATTGGATTATTATCAAACAGAGAATATCGTTATCCACTGAATGGCCACAAAACTATCTATCGCACTATGATCAATATTTCATACAAAAAAGTTAATTGTTTATAAGCATATCTCGGTTGTAAAATTGTTTTTAAATAGTAATACTACACATTTATTCGCTTTTACTCGTAATTTTCTGAAGGAAGAGAAATAACATATCAGTATAATAACTCGCGTATGATTAAATAATTAACAAAACATGAAAAAACGACTAGTTTCGAGAGTCCAAACTTGTCATTCTCAAGGGACGGAGTAAACTTTTCTCGCCCTACGGTGGTTCAGCAGTAAGTGTAAGGCTAAAAATCGGGTTTCGATATTCGCGGAGAGCAGAGCACAGTTAAACGTCTTCTATGTCAGGTTAAAAACAGTCCAGAAAATTCATCGTTCACTAACGGCACTTTAGTTCAAAACTAATTAATAAGAAAACAACTTCAAGGTTGAGTTCCAATCCCATTTCATTATTATGTATTTTTCTCTGTTTTTAAATATTTCTATCGATTCTTTTGTGTTGCGTTGGTAGAATAATTTTGGCTCATCAGTGATCTTTGTTTGATTAAAGTTAATTGAAAGAGATCGTTTTGTTTGACCAATATAAACATAGTTACAGGAACAAGAAATGGAGTAGATACGTGGGATGTAGTTTGCTTCTGTCTTATCTTTTCCTTTGTTAAGCCCCCACCCCCACCCCACCGAGTGGCACAGCGGTATGTCTGCGGACTTATAATGCTAGAAACCGGGTTGCGATACCCGTTGGTGGGCATAGCACAGATAGCACATTGTGCTTAATTACAAACAAACAAACCCTATGATAAATTTATTTGGAAGTTTGTTCAATGGCTTGTAAGCTAGTTAGTAGGGTATTGTTGGGTAAAAGGCATCTACTGATCTGTCTGCAGTTATGTCCCCCATTGGGTCAGCAGTAAGTTTACGGATTTACAACTAAAATCCGGGGTTAATGATTACGTTCGGTTTAAAACCTCATGAAACAGCACAATTTTTGACGTACTTCAGTTCATTGTGAATGCTCTTTTCGTCGGAACAATTATTATTTTTCTATATTGTCATTAGCATTCAATTTGTTTATCTATAGTTTAAAATGTTTAAGCGTATAACTTCCATAGGTTTATCAGCTACATAACTGAACATCTTACACGTTAAACAAAAATATTTATATTGCAATTTTAAATATCGTTCTCGTTTTTCATACTATTTTTTCAGTTCTGTTATTAACAAAAAGTATCGATTGAGTTTTATAATTATTTTCGTTCATCTTTACCACTTTCTGAAAATCTTTTTCCTTTTTCTACTTAAGTGCTTAATCTTTGTTAAAATATTTTGTGATATTCGTGTTGATAACAATATGTAGATTTATCAGTAACGCTATTTAAACTAACATCATACTTGTACATTTTAATCAACTTTTATATATCATTATCTTAAAAATTCATTTAACTTTTTATTTATTGTTACTCTAAGC